CTCCCTTGAGATTCTTTAAGTCACCTGTAAATGGGCCTGGCAACGCCCCTTGCTCCTCTGGTTGGCTCCCCAGAGTAGTCAAGCCCGGGTCTTTGCCAAAGTAACAAGGAAGTTGAGACACATAAGGCAGTCATGTCACCAGGGAAGGTAAAAGAACAGTGATCAGACAGATTATAGCACATGTGTATGAAAAGCAACATAGAAAGAATAGCTTGAAAAACAAAGAGGACAACTGAGAGGCAGATTTTACAACATATGCAGAATAAAGTACTTTTACTATGGGTCTTAATTGTATAAAGTAGGAAATTATAATAAATTACTTGCATAATTTTCTCCCACCCACAAAAATCTCATCACCCTTCCTCTCTACCAAATCAAAACACAAACCTGCCACCCTTAGGAAAACACTTTCTGTCTTATTTTTCCTAAAACAGGCTATCACTACAGGAGGTGTTACTTACCGGGAGCAGCCATGGCATAAGGAGTGCTTCGTTTGTACTGGATGCAAGAAGCAGTTGTCCGGACAACGCTTTACCTCCAAGGATGAGTTTGCATACTGCTTGAGCTGCTTCTGCAACCTCTATGCCAAAAAGTGTGCTGGGTGCACAAACCCAATCAGCGGTAGGTCTCTCATAGCTGGTGCTTTTGCATTTTGTGGGGGGGTTGTGTGTTGGGTTTTTTTGGCTTGGTTTGGGGTTTTTTCGTGGGTTTTTGTTTGTTTTTTCCCAGTGAACTTCTTCTGATATTAAAAATGGTTCAATAATTTATTCTGAATAATTTGAAAGACTGAAAACACTATATAATTCAAGATCTATGAAATTAAATACTTACAATGCCTTTCCAGTGCCTAACAAAAAGAAAGGTCCTTAAACTGAAGTTTCCTCCTTTTCCCCTGATTTTCATGGAACATAGTGGATGCCCATTAACAGACCTATGGCATATGCATGTTTTGTACATCATCCCACTCGTGTTCATTAGAGGTATCACTAACTCAGCAACAACAGTCCCTTCACCAGCAGGAAGTATCTAACTGGCTTCTCCCTCATGTTGTATCAGAGCACATTTCTTCCCTGCCTTCTCAGGACATCAACTGAGAAGTCACAAGGCTTTTAGACACCACTTTCCAGTGCACAAGTACTTAGAGGAGCAACTGCTTAGAACTTCACTATTAAATAGCATAAAACTATAACCTCCTCTATGAAGTAATTAGCCTTTAACAGTATGATCTATACAGTCCAAAACTGCAAATCTGAGTTACATGTGGAGCACTGATTACATAGTTCCTAGAAAAACAAGTGTATAACCCCACAGGTACTGTTTTATGTTCATGTGAGAGTCATTTCTCTCTTGAATATTGCAGTCCTTTCTATCATATAGATAGATATGGTTTGTTTCAAAATGTTGTTACTAAAGGCAAAACTAAACAAAAACCTCTCTCACTGGGTAAGAGGTATGCCAACTAAATTTTTTTCACTGGCTTCCAATGCATCATATTCATTCTAATGCATCATATTCAATTTTTTGACATTTCTGAGGTTAAGCAAAAGACAATTACCACCAAGACATATTTGACTCTTTTTTTCTTATGCCACTTCAATATCCCTTATGATAACCTCCATAGCCCCAAACTTTGGAATCCTTCCTGTTTTCTACTAATCTGCTTCTTTTCTTGAAGCACTCTTCCTTCAAAGCTATGAATCAAGTCCTGACACAACCTGACAGACTTCTTTTTTAATGATCTAAATGCACTTTTACAAAACAAAAAAATAACTTACTCAGATGCCATAACACATTCTGTAAAAAACTATGAGAACTCTGTTCAAGGGCAAGTGTTTTCCTTTTCTTCAGCTGTATGTTCCAGTGCCATCCCTCAAAAGTTCATTTCTAGCATTATCACCAATTATAACAGCCTTGCTCACTAAAAAGCAACAAAAGTATTTGGGGATGAAAATAAGGATGGCAAAACTAGCATAGTAACAAATGGATTTGTCACAATGACATTTTTTCACTCCTCTGTGTCACATCTCCATGCCAGTGAGGAGAGTCTGCATCACTTGATGGCTGATGTGCTTTGCTTCTAACAGAAGGCTTTTGGTTTTCAAACAGGACTTGGAGGAACCAAGTACATCTCCTTTGAAGAACGGCAGTGGCATAACGATTGCTTTAACTGTAAGAAGTGCTCTCTCTCACTGGTGGGTCGCGGCTTCCTCACGGAAAGGGATGACATCCTTTGCCCTGAATGTGGAAAGGATATTTAGAGCTCAAACTAAGAGGTGAGGAAGAAGGGAGGAAAGCTGTGCTTCCAATACATAGTCTGAAACTCATGGATGTTCAGAACTAGCTTTGCCATTCTGTGTCTCGCTGTACTATTAACATTACTTAGCCTTTTTTATTATACTCTCCAAGTCTGGAGGGAAAACAACTTGAATACCTCCAGTAGCAGTGTTGGTGTTTAAGATTTCTACAGCTAACAAAAACTGATTCAAAACCCAAGATGTAAAACCATTTGGCCGTTTTTGACATACATATTATTTTTCATGTTTGGTTTTTTTTTTCCTATCACTAAATATTCCAGTTACAAGGAAGTGATACGGTTCAAGGATTACAATGGCCACACACAATACATTCATAGGTGGATATTTAGGGTGAAACCTTCAGCCCACTGAAATCAATGGCAAATGCCATTCAATTCCAGTAAAGTGATGGTCTCACCCCAGTGTTCTTGAGCTATGTGACTAGTGTGTGCTGTCAAATCTATATAGACTGCAAAGGTAGAGTGTGTTTCAATGTACAGGGATTTGTGCCATGCCATAAAGAGATAATGATAAAACAGTTGAACTGCAAGTGCGTCATAATAGGTTCAGTTTATTGCATGACTAGCTGATCATTGTGTGAAGTACAAGTTCTGATTGACAGTGTCAGTATTCCAATTAGTTGACATTACAGTACACATTGTATTTTTCAAAATAAAATAATTTAGAACTGTGATTGTGGTTTAATTGTATTTACGTATTATTTACAAGTAAAATGTTCTCACAGTCCAAAGAAACACAACACATGCAACCCTTTTTCCCAGCCATTGGGGGTGTGAAATTTAGACAATCCTCAGAAGGGCCCTGCTGATACAATATAGTCCTCTACTAACTGAAGTCAGTGGGAAAATTATCAGCAAAACTGAGTGTTTGAAAATACTGAACTGAATGCAGCTGATAAAAATGTGTTCATAGGCTCTAAACTCCAAACTAAAGTATTTTTCTTCTCATGAAGCAAGGAGGTCAAGACAACTCAAAAGACATTTATCTTTGCAAAAGTCAGCAGTTTAACTTCTATACTAGGGCATGCTTTAATTGTGTTCTGCATTGGGATACATAACACCCTTTGTTGTAGCATAATTTCTGCTACGTTTGCCACTGAGGCAACAGGGTGCTGGCAGGACAATAAAATCAAAAGGAAACAATCCAAAGGAAGATAACTCTTGTCCCAAAGCAAACTGCAAGAAATATGGCCATGTTACACAGTGTGCAATCACAGTACACTTTCCAGATGGAATCCATCTGTGTCCAGCAAAGGGAGGAAAGAAATATGTCACACCTCCAACAGGAATCTTCAGACGTGGAAAGAAGATTTAGGAATGTACTTACTCTGTGTGTAACTTGGTAGGGAAAATTTGCTCCTAGTTTCTGCCACCACTCCTGAATTTGTCTCTTTTTGTACCAAGTATGAAGTGCTCACAGGTCATTCCCCTCTCATTAATTCAATAAGCTGAATATATGCATCACATCAGATTTAGTTTATTGCACACAATTTGACAAACTTCACTGGCTGACATTTTTGAAGTGCACACTGTGCTAACCAGAACTCAACTGAATTCTATCCTTTGGTGATTTCATTTTATGATGAAAGCTGTAGTAAATAGCCACAAAACTCCCTTTTATATCCACACCTCCCAAAGGAGGGCAAACACCTCAGTCTCCTCTGGGATCTGGCAATCCCTCAGCACAGTGCAGCTGAGCCCTAGTGCTTTGCTGAGAGAAGGATTACTATTAGCTAAAGGGGTAATGCCGCTGTACTCAATACTGGGGAGGCTGCACCTCGAATACTGCGTTCAGTTTTGGGCCCTCAGTACAAGAAAGACATTGAGGTGCTAGACAGTATCCAGAGAGGGGCAACGGAGCTGGTGAAGGGGCTGGAGCTGGGCGTTGCTCAACCTGAAGAAAAGAAGGCTGAGGTGAGGTCTTATTGCTCTCTACAACTACCTAAAAGGAGACTGAAGCAAGATGGGCATAAGCCTCTTTTCTTGGGCAGCTAGCGACAGGACAAGGGGAAACAGCCTCAAGTTGTGACAAGGGAGGTTCAGGTTGGATATTAGGAAAATTTTCTTCACTGGAAGTCATCAAGCACTGGAACAGATTTCCCAGGGAAGTGGTGGAATCATGCACCACCCCTGGAAGTGTTCAAAAAACAAGCAGACGAGGCACTTCCTGATAGAGTTTAGTGGGTTTGGTGCTATGCAGGGAAGGGTTGGACTTGATGATCATGAGGTCTTTTCTAACCTTCATGATTCTATGAAGACAGTAAGAGCAGCATGGCTTGCACCTTGTCTCCCAAGTACTACAACAGAGGGCAAAATGGTCCTAGCTTAGGGGAAAGGCAGGTGAAACACAGCAAGGCTGGAAAGCATACTGGCCTAAAGCCAAGGCTGTTCCCATGCAATAGCAGCATCATGCTATCATCCCAGTACAGCTCTGAATATCCCTCCTTAACACATACCAACACACACGTGCTCCTAGAAACTGGAACTACACAAAATACATCCTACACTCTGGATCACTGACAATAAACCAAGCACAAAACAGAATTCTTATCAGACTGTTACACTAGTGCAAGAACCAGCACTTCACATGAATACTACCTGCTGCTAAACCTGCAAAGTAGCTACTAAAATGAGCAAGCTTAATGACATAATAATTACATCATATAAACAAGTCAGCACTGCTTTGTTTGCTTTTAATTTAATTTATTTAAATAGGATAAGGCTACTTAAAAGACAAGTCTTTACATACAAAATGTACATTACATTAAATTTTGCTGTACTCAAGTACAAAAACTGCACAAGTGTTTAGTAAAAGGGAAACAGCACACTATTTCAAAACACACATTCTTACCATTTTACAGCATTCGAGAAGTGCCTTTTATATCATAATAGTGAATGGAGAACTTCTGTAAAGTAATGAACTAAACTACAGGGGTTGGTTTCAATATAAACCAGTGTTAAAAATGTAAACAAGCTTTCTGATCACTACTGGCAGCTTCTTTTAGTGGGTTATCTAAGAGGATTCAGAAGTTGATTTTTTTTGTTGTTGTTTTACTAAGTCTGGGAGCATTGTTATTATTATTTACCATCCATATCTAAAACTGATCTAAATTGGCTTCACCCTGAGCCACTGAGTTTTAATAAAAAATTTCTATCAACTTAATTGGATTTCTGCCCTGTAAGGCACTACCAATAATTCAGATGAAACATCAAGTTTCACAGAAAACCAAAATCCATCTTAAATTATCAAAGGAAGGGAAAACAGCTTTGTGTATTTTTTCCAGAGTGTAATTACACGTGTTAATGCTCTCAAGGTACTTCTCTGTCTTCCTCTCCATGCCCCTCTCCAACTTCATAAGCTGAGAAAGCACTGGTTTGCATTCCACTGTTTTTTCCCATATTTTATACGCATGATTGTAACCAGGATAGCAACCAAATTTGCTACATTGGCACAGTTTCACACTTATGCATGTACAAAATACGCCTGTGTACTTAAGAGAACATGGCACTAATCCATTCACTATTTCCTCTCGAAGTTTCATATCCAACAGTCTAATAACATATTTCCATCTCTGCATTTCTTATTCACATATCAAGAGAAACTTCAATTTGAAGTAACACTGTTAAAATAGTTCATCTCTTATTACCAGCCTAACTTGCACTGCAGATTTTTTTACACTCCTGTTCTGTGCAACAAAAAGGAAAAAAATGTCTTGTAGACCATCTTATCAGCAGAATGGTCAGTGTTCTCATGCAAATTAATTACCTTTTTAAAGCCAAGAAGGCTCTTGGGATCACTCTAAATCTCAACAGTTGTTTTAACTATTTAACCAGACATGGAACAAAACTGAACCTTAGTGAAACAACGTGTGAATCATAGTGATGTGGAAGAGATGAACTATAATAACCTTGAAAACTAAAAGTGGGGGGTTTAGTATAGTGTAATATCATCACCTGTTAAACAAGTAATTAACTACTTGGTGTACAAGAGTAGACGCTCTTAAGGTTACTGGTGATAGTGATTCCAGATTTACAACATGTAACTGTTAAACTTGTTAAAGCTTCACAGCAATCTGAATCTCTGTAAGGTTTAAAAACAATTTTATTTAAACTGCTTAAATATATCTATCTATTTGAAAATATGGAAGTAATATTTATGTTTCAAGCACCATTAGCTACTTCATGGCCATGTAACATGCTGGATTTTCTTCTTTGCTTCCGTAGGCTTTAGATCATTCTGAAATACAAAGAAATACATAAGTATTATTAGACATACTGTGCAAATAAAAGTCAGTCATTAATCTGACCTATTCAAACCTGGTACTATTATTGTACTCAGCTGTAGGCTACTACTATAGCTTTCTATTGCCATCTCGTGGAGAAAGTTAAATATCACAGAACTTCTCTACAGAAGATAAAAAAAGAGCCAATGAATTTAACTACCTGCAAATCATACATGTATTTTGGTTTTTTACTAACCTAAAATCAAATATGCAAAAATGTCTTTATGCAGGTTAGAAACAGGTACATGTTGGAGTTTCAAAACACACTTCTAAAGTTATTTCAAATCGTGTTCTTAAAATACTTGTTGAAATGGGATTGCAAAAGAAAAAAACCCAAACATACAACTAGGAAACCAATTTACTTTTGTCAAATAGTAAAAGCATTACAAAAAGAGAAAGAAAATTTTGTCTTCCCTTGTAATGGGCTGGGTAAAAAAAGATAAATAATCAGCAAAGCCTAAGATGAACTCATCTTTCAAGGCCCCCTACCCCAAGGAACTTGTAAAAATCAAGAAAATCTGAAGCAAAACAATGGGAGATGAAATGGTGAAATAATTACCTTTCACCATCTAAAATAATAACAAAACAAATCTGAAAAATTGAGCTTTAATAGCTCACACGAGCAGAGTAAAGACAGGTATATGAGTTTTCAAGAACATTCTGCACCTCACTGCAACTCTTGTTTTTAAGAGTTTCACTGTTAGTTTATTTACAGCAATGCTCTGGACTGTAACCACTGAAATGTTTAAGAGAATCAGACCTAAAGATAGGAGGGATAATTCTGTGCTATTCAGCATGAGAACTTCAGTTTTTCTCGAAAGACAAAGAACAGTCACTTGCTTGAAGAGAAAATTGTCACTACTGTCATTGTACTAAAAATAGATCAGGCATCACACTCTACAGCCATCTGCCAAGTACACTGATTCTTCCTGACTGCATCACTTACTAGTCAATACCACAGTCTTTAATTTCAGACAGTAAATTACTATCCATAGAACACACTTGCCTAACTTCACATCTCTCCACATTAACCAAGGCATGACTGAACTTGCAGGTATTAACTGGAACAACCTAAACTGTGGCTAATGTAGAAAGGCAAATGTGAGAGGTCATAACTTGAATGTCAGTTATATAGTGGCACTTAAAAGTGCCATCGCTGTGTCTACAAAACATTTAAATGAAATATAAAGAAGCTGTGAGGTGTATACTAAACAAGTTTCAAAAGCTCTGTAGGTCCAGATCTGACCAATACTTGGAAGAGTTCTAAATACTAAAAGAAGTTTGTCATTCTGGTAGTAGGAAGCACACCTCTCGAGGATAAATTTCATTCAGAGCCTCAGCCATGATTCTTGTAAAAGTTGTTAAAGCTGTCTTTCAGAACAGCCACTTTTAGTGCTTATGTTTAACATGAGTCTGATGGAACCTACCAATCCATGCAGCGAGGATATTACCTGCATTCTTTAATTAAAGGATTTAAAAGAAGATATTAGCAGAAAGCATTTAATGAGGGAATATTGAGAAAACAGAAGTTCAGTCTCTTGTCTTGGGAAAATTCTAATCAACATAACTGCACACTGTATATCTAAAGCTCCCCCTGCAGTTCAACTAAGAATACATATTTCTATTTCTTCCTTTGAAGCCCAGACTTATTTCAGATATTCCTGTACTCCAGTGGAAATGTGAAAACTTCCTCACTTGTATCATGAAGGAATACTACACAAATATAAAATTCATCCCTACCTCATAGCACATTTTGAAGAGGTGATCCATTGCTCCTGCTCACTGAAAAGCCCTCTAAGACTAATCACACAGCTGTCAAAATGAACCACTGCCCCATCTCCCCATCTGGCAGCTACATTCAAGACCATTACCTACACCTTATAAGATAGGCCCTGCTGAATTCATACATCCCGCCTCAGCTCTTCACTCATCCCTTCAGCTCATCAGCTTTGTTCTGCCCCCCTCTGTAGGGTAGTTCTCTTGTATGCACAAAATTTGTTTACAGCCAAATCTAACTTACAGAAAGAAGGTACTTATTTACCTTTATGGTTAACATCTCACTCATCAGGCTTCCACAAGAGAACAGCACCCTTCTGTTCAAGATCTCAGCATGTCTTCCTCATTGCCCAAGTACTCAACTAAATCCTGTCTCAAAACGAGCCCTCGACCTTTGGTGTCTCACCTCGACTGAGAGTTTGTTGTTTTGGCTTCTCATTCAGATCCACAGTCTAAGCACTCTCCAGATTAACACCTCCAGTTCCTTCCTCTAGCATGCTAATTCCTACACAAGATTTTAAGCAGATGGCATTCTTCCTCTAAGGATCTATTCTATGGCTCTCAGCATCTCACTTCTGTTCCTGTAATACCTCTACTGTGACAAATAAAAGCTTGTCCTACTCAACCGTTCAAGTGTGATTGCTACAAATCATCTCATTTTTTCCTACTACAGAAAACAGATCACTTGTCTTCCCTCCACGGCTGTTCATGTTGTTCTACAATAACTTTTCTTTCTCTCAGACCTACCGGTAGAATTATTTAGTTGGTTTTATTTGACTGCTACCAGCACCACCTTATGTTTTACCTACTTACTGGTTTTAAAATTATGTGCATGTTTTCTACAGAATTGCATCTCTCACACAGACGTTTCCCATGGACGAGTGCAAAGTTCCCAAACCAGCTACACCTTTGTCTGTTTCTAAATACTCTACTATTACTCCAAAATAAAATAATCCTGAAAGCTCTTACAATTTTCCACCTTTGAGTCCTGTAAGGTTCAACTAAAAAAAGCTGCAAAACAAGATACTGCACAAACGTACCGGCAAATCAGATTCCTCTTTTGGAACAGACCTCTTTAACTTCACAACAGTAGTTCCTGCTATTGGAGACAAAGGGTAAACCTTCAGACTACTCAACACACCGCTGTTAGTCTTTGAAATATTGTTCTGCTGAGCCTCACTATTTCTCACTCCCAGCTTAGTGTCCTCTGGCAAACTGGAGGCTGAAATGTATGTTGAGGCGTTTGAAGAAACTGATAATCTTCGAACAGTGTTGGTGGTGCTTCCAGCTGGAGGAGGTTTCAGGCGATCAGCAGCTCCATTCTCTGTCTTCTTCACCTTTATGCTTGTACTTGTTGAATTGCCATCAAATACAATTAATGGCCGTTTCCTTAACCCTTCCACTGTTGTAACACTGAAAATACAAATTGTAAAATTCTCAGAAACACAAGCTATATGATAAAAAAATAGCATATCCAAGACATGACTTGGATATGAAAATTATTTTAATCTTGTTTAAAGTAAATATATATCCCAAAACACTAACATTAAACTCTGATCTGCTCCAAACTTAAATAAAAATACTTATATAAATTTACATATACTTAAATAAAAAGCAACAAAAATTGCTTCCAAAATACAAAGGGGCAGGGGTTTGTGTGAGGAACTGTTTAGGCAAACAATTACAGCTGTACAACCAAAGACTCTGTGCTTATACCACTGCAGCTCTTCCAGAGTAACTACACAGATAAGTGTTAAGTATTTCAAAGGATGAATATTTGAGAAAACATGTGCTGTCTTACCTACAAGAGCAGCATCTAATATTCTGATAATTCCAAATTTCCCTGTTTCCACTCTTATTCAAAATCATACTGTTAAGATAGTCCAAAATATTGTCTCACAAGGAATAAATACATTAAGCAAAAAAAAGCACACCTCTTTTTAAAATAAGTTGTCTTTGAACAGGAACCCTAAGTGGATTTAATGACTTTTTTTAAATAGTTTCTGCCTTTAAGCCTATGTGTAGTCAGAGCTGGCCAATTCAGTAACACATGACAAGGAGCACTACCAGGCTGATATCAGAACAGTATTATCAGAAAACATTTTGATTGCGAGAAAATAAAGTACAAAGTAAACATAACTCACCCTACATGAATTCAAAGATTTAAAAAAGCATTGCTCAAGAATGACAAAGAGAAAGTGTTTGGAAAGTGCAGATTTAACAAATAAAAACCCCAAACCACCATTAAGGTATATAATATTCCTGATCAGAAACTCTGGCTTTCAGTATACGCTGACTGTTCAGTCACCTCATACTAAACAGATGAATAAAAGTTGAATTACAGTGTTTCAACAATTGAATATATTTGCATTTATTTGCAACTATATGAATTTGACAATATTGATGTTAGGTATCTCAACAGACTTCAAAATAAACCACAAGCAGAGACTTACAGTTTGGACTTGGAACAACAATAGAATAGTAGCTGCTGATAAATCTCACATATTAAGAAGTTGCATATCACTTGCACAGTTTTCTGTCAAGACCAGGGATTTCTTTAAAAAAATGCGAGTGGTCACAGTTTAGGAGTTCATAAAGCAAGACAAAGTTCAGCTCTCAGACCTTTTTCCCTGTCACCTTCCTCAACATAATAGCATAGTAAGTCTGCTTTTCCTATGGAGTCAGGGTTTTTTACATATTCAGATTGGTGAACAGTGGCAAGTTAGGAGCTAACTGCAATTCCTGGACTGTTATCTATTCTAAACTCAATTTTAGAACTGTAGCACTTGAACAAATGACACAATACAGGTAACATTCCCACAGAAAAATTTTGGGAACACTCCAAAAGAAATTTGGATGCTTTACTGTCAAATACCGTGTCCCAGTTTAAATGAGACAAGGGTCTTTTGCTGAGGATGGGTTAGGAGAAAAGACCCAACCTTCTCTTTCTAAGCAATCATAAATCCAAAATTAGGAGGCTCCGATTGAAGGAAAACAAATTACAGAAAAGGGAAAACAACAGCCCTTCATTAAAAGGTATATGTGTATTAACAGAAACACGAAAAAAACCCCAAGTAAAACAACCAAACAACACTCCTATACCCACAAATAACCCCTTCAAAAACAAACCGATAAACTGTCACATCCAATTTTTAGATACATGTCTCACAGCACAACACAGAACCTTGGGAGTGATGTTTGCTTCGTTTATATAAAGTACAGGCAGCTTAAAAGCTTCACAGTAGGACTCCTGTAGGCCAGCACTTTTCTGAGGGAGGACACTGATGCTCACCAACTGCTGCAATCAGCCATTTTGGGATTGTGTCTCCTGCAGATCATCTTCTGTGCAACCTAGATTTCAGTGCACATCTACATCTAATCCTGCTGCTTACTTTGAAGTGCATGGTAAAGAACAGCTACAGTGCTCCTAGAGACTGAGCATTTGCAGGTGAGAGTCTTCAGACTTGATGACATTTCAGAAACTACTTACACACTGTAAGATTCTTATCATTCTCTTTCCTTCAGTAGGCAAGATGATCTAACAGATCTACAAAATTAACTATCCCTGGACACAAATACTTTCTGAAATGATTAAAACTGGATAGACTGTGCTTGTTTTTATTTGGTATGATTGTCTGCAAACTCAAATATTCGGTAATAAGATATATAAACCATCATCTGTAACCTCAGATATTTGACTGTGTAACTGAAGTTTTACATATTGCTTCAAATCAGCTGCCATACAGCAAGTCTTCTAGGACATGACATTAATCACCAGCAGTAAAACTAAACACAATATTCAACACTGATTTTTAAATTTCAGTGTGTTTTTAACTCCAATCTGTAACTACTAGAGGCAAGCCAACACACAGTGAACTGTGCTGATCAAGTCTTGAAGCCTCATACTAACTCCATGTGATTTCCACAGAGAACTCATCAGAGTTCCCTTATTCATACAGTCAATCAGTTTATCTGATTTCTAAAGTGAACTAACAGCATGCCTAGTTCCCAGCTCCAACTTGCACATAACTTAAGCTTCAAAATATCTAAGAATTTTGATTTCATTTTAGAAACAAGAATGTAAAGTTCTACTTCCTCTTCTGCACAGTGGCATTGTGTCAATTTTGTTTAAGTGGTGCACACAACTCTGATGAAAAGTGTAATATTCTAATATTCCAAAAAGACAATTGAACTTCCTTGATATAGTGTACTAAACCTGAAGTTTTTTCTGTGCAACTTTTACTTGCTGAAAGTGCTGACTGTCTATTTCTCTCATTTTTCTTGGGTTAGTAATAGTAGTAGGAAAAGATTAACTTTTCTAAACAGTATTTTGTCACCATATTTGTTAAGTATGAAAAAGGTAATAAAAGCAAAACCAGTAACTGCTAGAAAATCTTAAAACTGTCTAAAAACAGAACAAAAGACTAAGCCCACTGTGCTAGATATTAAGTGCAAAGAAAATCAGACTGGTAGATTAAAGTTATCTCCTTATACTTAATGTTTTCCCAGCAAATACACACAGGTTTAACCATTACTGCATTTTATTGTACCAAAATAAGAGCGTCTAAAGTTATTGTACATATAAACTCTGGATGAAGCCATTCTCCCATCTAAAAATTAACATTGCCTCTTTCTCCCAAAAACATCTAGCCTACTATCTTTATTTCTTTGGACTAGATGACCATCAAAGGTCCCTTCCAACCCAAACCATTCCATAGTTCTACATCAAGAAGCACTATAAGCTAAATATCATTACTAACATTTGGATAACAAAACACTTATCTTTCCCTTTTTCCCGTTATTGCAGCAGTAGAATCTTTCATTTCTGACACAGGAAACCTGACACAGCGTTCTCTGTAAACTGTGACAACGTCCAAAAGCTGTACAAATTTCATTAATCAGGCAAACAAAGATTGAACTAAATGCATTGTCCTAAATTCTCCAGGTCTAGCCCAATAAAAGCTAACTTACCTTTTATTCTCACTTTTCAAGTCACTTTGCTGTCTCTTCTTTTCCATCATTTTTCCCCATCTACTTTTTGGTAAGTCACGCTGAGGCAGGGGAATGGCATGTTGAATATAGAGATCAGTGAGACCATCTTTGTCCATTTTAGCATCATTTTCAACTAATATATTTTTCTGTGGGGGACAGAAAAAAGAGTTATTATTATAAGGACAAATTCAAAGCACAACCATCTTAGTAGCATCATTTATTTGTTCAAAATCCACTTTAAGGTACTGCTTTGGGCATAAATGCCGGAGTTTCAAAAGTGAGGGGGTGGCTGGGATGATCAGTTTGGAGAGGCCATGAACTGCCCACTGCCAATGACAGCCTGGTCTCCTGCCTTCCTACTGTGAAATTCCCTTGTTTTCCACAGAAAGCTGTGGTAATCTGTGGATTACACTCAGTCCCTCCCTTCAGTGAGGCGATGGAAAACATAGGATGTTTTGGTCAGTGCATAGTGATTTCTTTTTCCACCACCTGCAAGCGCATCTCTTTCATATGTCTCCTCGTGTGCCTCTTCCTGTTTGTCCTCTGGAGTCTCCTGCCTCTGATGTCTGCCCCAAGCAGACATAGGTGCCACAAGCTCCTCTGCTCCAAATACTGGTGTGTGATGGGCTGTTTTCCATCAGCGTCAGAAACAGCTGGATGCAGCTGTGACTAGCACTGGGCATTTATTCACCTCTGCCCACACAAGTCAACCCTGCAGCCCTCCCTATCCAAAACCCCACAGGCTTTGCCAATAAAAACAGTAGTAAAAAAAAAAAAAAAAGGAAAAAATTTTGATAGAGATACTTTTGATGGCTGACGTTTTCATGCTTAAACACACTTCTCTGAATCCAACTACAGTACCACAGCTCTTCTTCACGCTTTTAAAACCAGGTAACTAGAACATAATGCAGGTCAGACTTGTGAATGTAGAGCTCTGCTTCCTTCCCCAGTTCCCAAAGAATAAGGGAGATAAGTTTAAGCTCAACATGAGGAAGAACTTCTTAAGAACTTCTTTACATTGAGAGTGGCAGAGCACTGGAACAGGCTGTCCAGGGAGGTCACGGAGTCTCCCTCTCTGGAGGGACTCAAAACCCACCTGGATGAGTTTCTGTGCCACCTGTTCTAGGTGACCCTGCCTTGGCATGGGGGTTGGACTGGATGACCTCCAGAGATCCCTTCCAATCCTACATATTCTATGATTTCTATGATTTTGTGAGATTTTTAGGAATTGTCAGTTTTACCAGAACACCAGTTTGCTTTTCAATCACGTATAAGGCTGTGAACATTTCCTGGTACTTCCTGCTGGATTTATTGAAGAAAAAAAACAAACTCCACTAACATCCTCCAAACTAGAGGTCACCAAAAGCAGATGAAGCCTCTGTCACTAATGGTTTTGGCAACACTTCATGACTTCTGATGGAGGCCTGAAAGGTGTACATTTTTGTCCACACAGACTACATGGTTGAGACCATATGAAAATTCTGAGCTCATACAAAAACCTGAAACTTTGACTCCTATTGTTTCATACACCTAAAACTTTCAGGCTGAGCGGTAACAAGTATTTCAAATTACATTAACCAAAGCTTTTTATGGTCCTAAACTGCTTAGAACTCACTTTCAAACTCAATTTCTTTTTTCAACTACTAAGAATTAATAAGTATTTAAGTAATGCTTCAGTTTTTAAGCATTAGCTTGACTGATTACATAGGCTGCACTTCCTTAATTCACAGAATGACAGAATACTTAGGGACGTCTGGAGATCACCTAGTCCAACACCCCTCCCAAGGCTGGCTCACCTGGAGCAGGTTACACGGGGTATGGACGTGGGAACTTCCAATACTGTAAATATCATCTTTCCACAGACAGTTTTACTGTAATGCAGCCACTACGTCGATTTGGGCAAACTGCACCTTAGCAGCCTCCGTGTTCAAACACAGCCTTTTGCAAACACGGACACATCTCCCACGCCACGGGCCTCCTCTCAGCAACTCCGTGGCCTGCGGAGCACGGACTCGGGGGCTGCTCTCCCCTGAACTCCCCCTCAGGGGCCGCCGCTCTGACCAGGCCCGGCCCGGCCCGGCTCCCCGGACGCACCTGCTCCAGGGTGAGCCGCAGGAATTCCTCCGAGAGCAGCTCCGGGTGCAGCAGCAGCGCCTCCGCCTCCGAGCGTGCCGTTCCCAGCTGCTCCTCCTGGCGGTCCCCGCCGCCCGCCCGAACCCTTCCCCGCGCCGCCATCTTCGGCCCCGGCAGCCCCTTCCAGGCTCCCACAACGCCGCGCGCGGCTGGAGACGCGTTTCCAGAGCAGCCGCGCCGGGCGGTGGCGTCACCTTCCGGAGCGGGGCCGGGACAGCGGGAGAGGGGTGTGCCCGGCCCGAGCAGCCGGGGCTGGGGAGCGCTCGGAAACACACAGGCTCACAAGGAATCATAGGGTATCCTGAGCTGGAGGGGACCCGCAAGGATCGTGGAAGTCCAGCTCCTGGCTCTGCACAGGACAGCCCCGAACTCCCCGAACACCATATGCCTGAGAGCGTCGTCCAAACGCTTCTTGAATTCGTCAGGCTTGGTGCTGTGACCACTTCCCTGGGGAGCCTGTTCCAATGCCCTCTAGGTGAAAAGTCTTTTCCTAATATCCAACCTAAGCCTCCCCTGACACAACATCAGGCCATTTCCTTGGGTCCTGTCACTGCTCACCACAGAGAAGACATCAGTGCCTGCCCCTCCTCTTCTTCCTCTCACAAGAAAGTTGTAGGCTGCAGTGAGGTCTCTCCTCGGCCTCCTCTTCTGCAACAAGCCAAGTGACCTCAGCTGCTTCTCATAAAGCTTCCCCTCAAGGCCCCTCACTATCTTCATGTGCTTCCTTTGGACGCTCTCGAATAGCTTTGTATCTCTCTTATATTGGAGCACCCAAAACTGAACACAGTGCTCAAGGTGAAGCCGAACCAAAGTGGGACAATCACCTCCCTCGACTGGCTGGCGATGCTTTGGGTGATGCCCCCCAGGACACGGTTGGCCCTCCTGGCTGCCAGGGCACTGCTGACTCACACTTGCCATCGACCTGGCCATCAACTTGCCATCAACCAGGAATCCCAGGTCCCTTTCCATGGCACTGCTTTCCAGAATCTAATTCCCCAGCCTGTACATATATCCAGGATTGCCCCATCCCAGGTGTAGATTCCCGCACTTGCCCCTGTTAAACTTCATATAGTCGGTGATTGCCCAGCCCTCCAATTTGTCTTGAGTCTCTCTGCAGGGCCTCCCTGCCTTCTGGGGGATTAGGTGTTGCTGAAGAGGTCAGGTTATCCCCCAGCTGATAGCGCTGAACAGGGAAAACATACTTTATTGTATTCTGACAATATACAAGACTACAAACCGCTTTTGCCGCTACATGCCAGAGCTCTGCTGCTGAAATAGAATGGGATTGCCATCCTGCCCATACATGAGGCACCTGCTTGTTAACGCAGCTTGATCTGCAATAACAAAAGTTGCTTTGTAATTCCAAAGTAAAACAGCTGCCTGTCCACTGGAGTTAGTCATCCGCTTACATATTTAAAGGCAAAATAGGGAATTACAAATGATTACAAATAAATAACCATGTCATAGTTACAATGCAAAACTGCAAATTTGCGAAAGTAATTGGAAGTACTTGATTTTCATTTTACAGAATTATGAGGCAGAGGCAACAATGTAACACAAGTAACATAACGTTATGGTTTTAAGTGCACCTCCCCATGAACAAGCTGCAGATGTATCACTACGTATGCCACATTATTGCTTCATATATGCAGTGCTTCTGTGCCTGAATTCAAATTTTGAATATTTAAAGATCATAGAAGTGTACAAGTAATATTATTTCACAATGGTGTCCTGAAAACAGCCATCTGGCAGCATATGGAATTTACTTCCTTGTGCTTTCCCTCTGTCCCTCCTCCCAAACCCACCCCAGCTACTGTCACTCCTTGTTTTTTCTTGGAAGCACTGCTTTTTCCACCTATGTATGGTTATCTTTTGTATGCCTGGGTTGGGCTTGGCCCATAACTATGATCTGTATTGTGACTACAGCATTTGGAAAAAATAAAATGATCCCCCAAAGTTGCCCAGACCATGACTGGTGTTTGGTGTTTGTGCTGCTGGGATTGGGTCCGACTCTGCATGAATGCATAATTCAGATGCTGGCCCTGATGCTCTCTTATTTCTGAGACTGCACTGGACTAGTTCCATTTTCATTTTCTCACTCTTCTTTCACTTTGGCCAATTACATCACAAAATCACCTTAATTCAAGTAATCTTGTAAATGAATGTACTTTCTAAGGCGAATGTTCAGCCTGTATTTTGGTGCTTATTTCAGCCAATGAAATTACTTTCTTGTAAATTGTGTGGATCATCTCTCCCTTCCTAAAGTATCTTATAAGTTCTTTCCTTATGGAAAACATATCCTTGCTAACCAAATTATTTTGTTGATCATGACTTTCACTCTGTGAGTTTCTTATGTTAATATTACCTTTCTAGGGATTTGTACCCAAAATTATAGTTCCTTTTAGGTTAACCAGACCATGTTCTCTCACAGTGAAGTTCTGACAGGGATGGAATATAAACAGTCTGATAAAAACATAATGTTTCTTTTCAAATTGCTATAAAAATGATAAAATTTTAATAACCTATATTGTGTGTATAGATCTGCTGAATGACCCTATTGCATTTTATAGTGGAGATAATTTTAAAATAAATACCACATCATTTTCCATTATTTTGCTTTTTAAGATTTTTCCAACTAAAAAAACAATGCTTTATATCAGTTCTAATACCTTTCTTTTTACTTTGTTCATTAGCTCTATGTGTTGTCCCAAAATAGGTTCTTTCACCTGGTGTGCAAGAGGCCAATCCACACACAGAGTCGAGGTATTTGATTTATTTACAGTTCTGCACAGAAAGGGAAGGCAAATGCACAAAGCCAGCAGATGACCACCCAAACTTTCCACAATTTATACATTTTAGCAAACAAAGGCATTAATGTTCATTGGCTACAAGTTCCTTAGTTCTCTTATAGTTAGTATTCTACCTTCTACTGGTTAATTATTCTCTTGCTTCTCATGCTAATTAGGCCACATGCTCAGTCCTTCTTTTCTTTTGAGTCGGTGGGCTCTGAGTCAGTGGTCACAATCTCCTGCAGCCAGAATTACCTTTTGCCGGTCGGAGCTGATTTCAGCACAGTTGCTGAGTTGGCTTTGTTAGTTTCTTCCTTATCTTGGGAATTCTGCCAAATGTCCCGTGGCCCATAAATTCTGCATTCTTTGTGTCCACTATCAGCAGTACATCCTTCTCCCCAAGGTTTGTTAACCTCCCGCTGAGTCTGAGATCATTGAGGCGCGTCAAGCTCTAAACCTTAACGAGGCAATTCTACCTAAAAGTCATTTATCTTTTTAACACCCAGACATCCCTTGGGAGCAGCTTTTTTCACATTCCAAGAAGGTGCTCTCAGTCTGACTGGACTTAGTAATAATAAGAAATGTTTTAAGTCTCTTATGCTGTATAATTCTCATATATTATATGTAGATTATATAAATAATTTATATATATATATTTATATAAAGTATATATAATAATAGTATAAGCATCTTGTAAAAGAGACTTATAGCATATATAATAATAACGGCACTAAGTTTTATAATATATGAGACATGTAATATTGCTATCAAGCCCCATTAGATTGACAGTACTTTCTTGGAGTGTGAAAAAAGCAGCTCCTAAGTCTCACATAAAGTCTCATATAAATATATTTACATATATACATACACATACATATGAGACAACAACTAAGTCACTTTATACATATATTTATATATATGTATAAATATATATATACAAATTATATATATATACATATAAATATACATATATATATATATATACATATGAAGAGACTTAAAACATTGCTATGATTAAGTCCAATAATTCCAAGTCTTTGGAACCTCTTTTATATATATATGTATATCTTCTATATACACATATGCACACACACATTTACACATATACACAGGTGTATATACACATGTATAAATACACGTGCATACACACAGGCACATATATACACAGATGTGCACGTCCCCTCCTGGGAGCAGGGTTGGCGTTCCCCGAGCGGTGTTCCCAGCGCCCTCTCCCGCACGTGACCGGACGCTCCCGTTCCCGGTGACGCGCTCCGGGAGGGGCCGGCGCCGCAGCGGAAGCGGCGCGTCCCCCCCGCCCGCCGGCGGATCCGAGCGCGCCCCGAGGCGGCCCCGGCCGCCCGCACCGCACCGCGAGGCCCCGGAGCGGCGGGCCCGGCTCCCGCCGAGCGCCGGCAAGTGCGGGGCGGGGGAGCGGGCGGGGGAGGCTCCCTGGCCGGCGGGGCCGAGGCGGCGCGCCGGGGCCGGTCGGTGCCGGGCCTGGCTGAGCGCCGTGTGAGTGTGTCTGTCTGTGTGTGTCCGTGTGTGTGAGTCTGTGTCCGTGTGTGTGAGTCTGTGTCCGTGTGTGTGAGTCTGTGTCCGTGTGTGTGAGTCTGTGTCCGTGTGTGTGAGTCTGTGTCCGTGTGTGTGAGTCTGTGTCCGTGTGTGTGAGTCTGTGTCCGTGTGTGAGTGTGTGTCTGTGTGTGTGTCTGTGTGAGTGAGTGTCTGTGTGTGTGTGTGAGAGGGGACGGGGGCGAGGGAACCGCGCCGGGTAGAGCATCCCCGCCCTCCCTGGGTCTGCGGTGGCCCAGCTCCTGGGCTCGGTGGGACCGTGTCCAGAGGTTTACTAGCGCTCGCTTGGGGTGCGGGAGAGGGAGCGGTGCGGAGGTGAGGCAGCAGGGGGCTGGTCTGCAGGGCAGGAGCCGGGAACATGCAATGCAAGGTTATTACTTAACGAGAGCGGGGGAGAGAGAGAGGTGCTTCCCACTTCTCGCCGGAAATGAGTGCGTGCGGGGTTACTGGTGCGCTTAAAAAATAGTGCCTACTAGACTGATAATTTTCCTGACTATTGCGTTTTGGGTTTTGTCAGCAAACATCCCCATTATCTTGTTTTCCGGAGTTCTGAACGTCTAAGAAATACTACAAAATATACTGTCTGTATCTCTGGGGTGGCCTCTTGCACTTTAAAGGAGCAGCATGTTCTGCAGAACCTGTTCCTTTGCAGTGCACACAGGCCCCTAAGGTTTTACAAATGAGGACAAAATAAATGTTTTTAAAAAAATCCAGATCACATGTCTTGACATTGATTGTTCCTAAAAGCTTTTTCTCACAACTTTTTTTTTTTTCCTAGAATGAATCTCTTTATTACCGAATTTAAGTAGTACTATGGATTTCTTGTTACTTCTGCTCAGAAAGTGTGTATTTGTTATATGTAATAGTTATAAACTAAATTCATTTTGCCTGTGCTTAGTTTGAAGTTTGTTCACAGGAGCATTTTGTTGATGTTGGTCTCTCTGTTGGTCCACAGAAATTTCATTTGATGTTCTGTATCTCCATTGTACCTTTGGACTAGAAGCAATTGATATGTTATCTCTTAAATCCACTCAAGATATTTAGTGTTGTGTCTTCCCTTGTGTTGGCCGAGTGGCTGTTACAGAACAGTCGTGACAAATTAAAAGGTGATTAAACAAGGTCGGCAATTTCTCATCTGCTTTTCTTTGGAGTGTTGAGCACAGCTGTCTACTGGTTTCTTACAAAAAAAATAACACAAGTCTGGAGTACAGTAAAGGTGCAACTGTTTGTAAAATACAATTAATTGCTTCATAAATTGAATCTGTCCCTTGATGATGTTTGATTGCAAAAGGATAGGTGTATTTTGTAAAATAGATATTAGAAGTGTTGCTTAGCACTTAAAGACAGACTTTGGGGATTATTTTGATAGTAGAGAACACAAAGTCTTAATTTCTGTGATATTACAGCTTGAGTTTAATTAATGCTTTAGGGGCTATGCTTCCAAATTTTCTGGGTGAATGTGCTTTATAATTGCTGGTGCATATAGTCTGTTGCAGAGAATGTGTAAGTAGCACTGAATACAATGGGCGTTCTGCAGATATTAGAAAACAAAACCAAATCACAAATCAACAACTTTTATTATGAGTTGGATGATATTTTGCATAAATTTTTATTTAGCTGGCTTGGAAGTTATGTACTTCTGATTACTGGAGAGTAAGGAATGGATGTGTTAAAATGCAATAAGCCTGTGATATTTTATGAAGAGACTATGTACTAACAGGCCTACAATTGAGTGTAAAGCAACATGAGATGTTAACTAACAGCACTGAACGCCTTGTGGCTTCTCAACAAATCTAAGACCTGAAGCTTGTTTGTTTTCATGTACATGTGATAGAAACGTCCATGACAGGTTTATAAATCACTAAGTACTGGCAATAACCACTTGTAGTGCCAGAGTATCTGAGAGAGCCAATAACATGCTGGTTACATGTGGAGAAAGCGTCACTTCAAAATAGCTAGGTGCTCTTGTGAATCTGTTTCAGAATAGGTTTGAAGTGGAAGCATAAAATTTGATTAATTTCTGTGGTTATTATTGTGCTTGCTCTAACTTGTGTAATTGGGTTGGAAATTGAGTATAGGCTATTAAAGAATGCAGCATTTAAGTTTTTGTATTGGTGAATATTAAATTGCTACCTCTGATATCTGATTATGTGTGTGGAGGTAAATAGTGTTTTTTTTCCCTTTAATCAGATCACCCAGAAGACACAATGAGCGTTAAAGCTTTCAAGCTCGTTTCTGCTGTTGAGCGGGAGATGTTAATGGGAGACAAAAATTATATCAACATTGAGTGCATTGAGTGCTGTGGGAAGAACCTCTACATTGGAACCAATGACTGCTTTATCTATCACTTTATGTTGGATGAAAAGGTATCAACAGCTGGAAAAATAACTTTTGCTGCTACCAAGCAACTGCATAAATATCTGGGCTTGAAGAAGCCTGTGAGCGAGTTGAAAGCAGCCTCTGCCCTCACCAGACTTCTCGTGCTTTGTGACAACACGATAACACTAGTTAACATGATAAACTTGGAACCCGTCCCCACCGGTGCCAGGATCAAAGGAGCTGTGACGTTCACGTTGAACGAGAACCCCGTGAGTGGGG